AGGCTGGCGCCCTGGCCAAGCACCGCCGGGTTCACACCGGGGAGAAGCCCTACCGCTGTCCCATCTGCACCAAGGCCTTTGCTCTCTCCTCGGGGCTGGTTCTCCACAAGCGCACCCACACCGGGGAGCGGCCCCATGCCTGCCCGCTGTGCAACAAGGCTTTTATCTCCTCATCACACCTTGCTCTCCACCTGCGCTCCCACACGGGCGAGCGCAAGTACCAGTGCTCCGTCTGCAGGAAGCTCTTTCTCCAGTCCTCCCACCTGGTGCGCCACAAGGCCATCCACACTGGTGAAAAGCCCTTCAAGTGTGAGGACTGCGGCAAGCTCTTCGGGCGCGCCTCGCACCTCACGACCCACCGCCGCGTGCACACAGGCGAGAGGCCTTTCAAGTGCCTGCAGTGTGAGAAGGCCTTCACGCAGAAGGCTGGGCTGATCCTCCATGTCCGCCTGCACACCGGGGAACGGCCTTACAAGTGTGACAAATGCGGGAAGAACTTCCGCTCCTCCGCCCACCTCATGTCACACCAGCTTCTCGAGTCAGGCGAGAGGAACTTCAAGTGCTCCATCTGTGGGAAGGCCTTCAAGCAGGCATCGTCCCTCAAGCAGCACCTGAAGACCCATGAGGCACGTGAGCCTCACCACTGCTCAGTCTGCAGCCGAACCTTTTCTAGGTCCTCTTATCTCCAGCTTCACATGAGAACACACAGTGGGGAGCGGCCGTACCACTGTTTGGTTTGCAACCGGACATATGCCAAAATTTCTACCTTTGAAAAACATTGTAAAAAGCATCAGCAGGGTGAAGAGAGGCCTGATGCTAGACCTAGGCCAATGACCACCAGGGCAAAAGCACTGGCTGAAAAGAAAAAGCAGGAGCAGAAACAGCACCACCAAGATGACAGCCTCGAACCTCACCAGGCTGACCCAAAACAGCAGGAGACGGAAAGGCTGTAAAAGTTGCTAAAACAAGAACTGTTCCTGGCCCTCTGCAGCGTGGCTCACAGGAGGTAGACTGTCTGGTTTAATTTTTATCAAAAGAAAATGATGTGCTGCGCCAGTGTTACTCCAAAACATGTTTCCAAATAGAATTCTTTCTCTGACGCAAGGTTCAATGCAAACACTTCTCTGGGGTACAGCAGATATGTGAAAGTCTGCTGAGTCTCCCTGCAGTCCATGTGGCATGTAGAACGCTCTGCGGTTATAGGGGGATTCCACCCCATTCGTGGGCCCCAGTGGTTTTGATTCATGTCAGCAGCATTTCCTAACACAGACTTCCAGAGGTTCCTGACCAAAGTGCCTCCTTTTACCCAGACTGAAAAAGAGATGCTTCTTTGTATGCAGAAATAGGTGAAGTTGTAGTCTCTTAAATGAAGGCAAAATTTTTGTTTGAAGAGGCAAGAGGGGTGGTGCACCTACAGCAAACAGATTTGTACAAACAGTGGGTTTAGGAAGCAAGCAGGAATTTTTCCTGCAAAATGTGATTTGTTTTTAAAAGCGCTGTACATAGCGAGAAGATAGCATCTTTGAGCATTTTCTGTTTTTCTCAATTACCACAAGGCATTGTACTTAACATCTAGATAATACTGTGTATGAAGTGCGTTTAAAGCACAGCAGGTTTTATTCCCAAAGCAACTTAACTCATCCTTCTCAAAATTAATGAAGACAGATGTCAAAAATCTGTAATTCATCTTAAATTGAATGAATTTGACATGTGAAATCCCAGCTTGTAGTAAAGGTACAAGAAATTTTTTTTAAAAAAAATATTTTTTCCTGATCTTTTGGGAATGTAAAATGTAGTAACAAGGGAATTCTAAGCCCCGTCTCTTGAATTAACGAATTACTCTCGCTAGTTCGCTGGACAGTCACCACACTGATAGAATGAGGCAAGATGCCATGAAAGGGTTGCTGTCAAAGCAGAATGTTTCAGATTTATTCTGGGGTGTGAGATCGGACTCCAGTGAGTACTAAACAGCTTCGTAAACATTAATAAAACTGCCTTTATTGCAGCAGTGTTCTTTGTGAGCCAGCACTTTGTACTGACCTTTTATAAGCTTGATGTCATTCTAGCAACAGTACTATGAGACTACTTTACACCCTTATTTATCTATTACTGTTACCCAGCAGAAAAAAGGAAGCAGTGAGTTCATTTTAAGTGCACATTCCTAATTTTCTGTACGAAGTCCCTGATTATTTTAATGGCATTTCCCTGTCATTGTGTGAAAGCACATATTGTGCACTTTAAGGATCTTAAGGATAGGCTTCTGGTTTTGGTTTCTATAGCATATTCACAACTCTGTTTTAAGACCAAAAAAGGAATTTTCCAAAAGCTTGCACATTTAAAGTATTGCAGTGTATCAGGCAAGAAATCACATTAGTGGATGATGGAGCTAGATTATATCTAAGAACTAATTTACAGCTAACGAAACTGCATTAAATAATTTTCTTCACTTGCTGCACTTCAGGATTTACTTGATGCTGGGTATACTATGATGTAACTCTTATTGTTGAACTGATGTTTATATTCAGCTGGTTAATATACATTTGAAATATCTGACCATGTAAATATTTAATGAGATGTTTCTAGGCCAGAGTTTCTTGTCATGGCAAATTCTAATGTAAATTCTTGCTGCAGTCTTTAGATTTTGTTTTGTGACCAGTCGTGTTGTTTAGGAGGAACTAGACACACTGGGTTTTATTTCCAGTGCGGTTATGCCAATACCATATAAGCAGAGTTTTATCTTTTTTTGTATTTCAATACATGTTATTAAAATAATATACACCACTATCTTTTCCTCCAGTCACTACTTTTTTTTTTTTTTTTTTTTAATCCTGTTCTCACCTGAACATAAAAGTTTGCTTATGGAAGAAAGTTTACTTATGGAGAAAAACATTTGCTAATTTTCTAGCATTCCTTAAAAGTTAGCTTGCAAAGGTAACTGCAAAATAACGATTTGTCTTTATTTCTGGTATTTTTCTCTGCTAAATGTGGATGACAGTGATCGTGTCGCTACTTGCAATGTGGCATGCCTACATGCAGAATCAAAATTTCAGTGGCAAGAAAATACAAAAGTGGCCTTTTAAGGATCAGTTTTATGTTGCTCCGTAATAGTTTTGGAGATGTTTTACTTAAAAAGCTTCCTATTTTGCTCTTCTAGTTTCCTGTTCTATCAACTGCCTTCCCCCTATAATCAGAAGTCCACACTGTGCGGGATGCAGTATGAACTCGGACTTTGTAAAAGTAAAATCCAGTGTTGAGAATATTTCAGAATGGAAGAACTGAAAATATGCTCTAATGCCCTGACTGTACAGCAGTACAGTAAGTAAGGCCAGGCAAATCCATTAGATTTAATATGTGGTAGGGGGAACAAATTCAATCTGTGGATCACTCACAGAAATGCTGCCACCTCCTTTTGAAATGTATTTTTCAGCTTAATGTACAGAGGGAGCAGGAGTATGCTTCCGTGTCGCTAGACTGCCGGGATGGAGGAGCACCTCTCAGTGCCGTCACAGCTTGCAGCACGGAGTTCTGAACTCATGGGAGACACGGCGCAGTGCTTTGTTTATGCAATTGCTTTACGCCATCCAACAAGGTTAGGAATGTTCCTTCTCTGGGATCTGTAAAAGTCTGCATTTGATTTGTGGATGATTTGTGGAAAAAGCATATTTTGTTTTTCTTTTTAAGAAATTATTTTTCTTCCTGTCAGCACATGAACTCTGCTATTGAATGATTCAGCCTGAATGTACTTCCATCATCAGGTAACAAGATGAAGAATATTTTTTTTAGGCATGCTAACAGCAATAATCAGCACTCCTTGTAAGATTAGCTCCTATGTGGAAGAACATTTT